GTCCGAGTCTGCACTGATGAATTTTAATTGGGTACAATAGACATGTATCAATAAATCAAATGTCTGTTAAGAGCAGACTCGGACACCGTATTCAAATTCACCAATGCAATGGTTATCTCAATATGCCTATTTTTTTGTGTCATTAAAGCTTCAAATCAATTAACCGAATCAAAAGCAAGAGCGGCATCATCAAGTTTTGAACCAATAAGCAAACGAATAAAAACGCAATAAGATCTAATACTGAATCTAAACCCATAAGAGTCAAAAATAAAATGAAAGAAACTCAAAACAGTTTTTGAGTTCACTGATAAGTGTGTGTCAAAGAGAACGAATTGGGAAGGAGACAAATGGGCTACAATATCTTTACATTTGGAGGAATCTAGAAATGGGTTCCTAAAGTATGTCTTTGTTTCAAGCTACAATTCATCTATATGTTGGTCAATAATGGTTGGTCCAACCTAATGGGTTTGGCCTTGTTTGGGCTCAGTTTTTGTCCTGGACTCTATTTATCATTTACGTTTATTATGAATTGGGCAACTTGGGTTAGGTTATGGCTGATTGAGCTGGGCTATGGCTGATAGGAAATAGTAGTACTAATTTATTTTTTTTTGGACCTGGGCTATTGCCCAAGTTAGCCCACACATGGTTCCGCCCCTAGGTATATATGACAACCCAAGGCTAAGGGCTACTTTTTTAATCATATCAATGTCTAATAAAATATTAGCCTCACTATAACAGGAAAAATGTGGTAAGTACATAATATTACTAAACCTGATACATAATAATCTTGATCGCTTTAAATTCTAGTCCTACTAATATTTGCTAGAAAGGAGACCTTAACTTTTTTGATGTTGATCCTTAACTTCTTCGATGTTGCTCTTTTTCTCAAGTTAATCATTTAAACATTCCATGGCCAAATCCAAGATAGATGATACATGTTGCTCCTTCACAGAGAAATCTTTTTCTTCTCTTCCCATCAAATTACAGTCCACAACCCCAACGATTGAACTATCCATTAATGCTTCATTCACCCAACGCTTCAAGCTCATCTCCTTAGCAAACATTTCTTCCATCCGCTTCTTCCGTGTGAATGTTTCCAGCAACATAACACCGTAACTGTAGATGTTGCCTCTTGTAAATACTATTTCTCCCGTTCCATATTCAATGCATGACATTAACATTAATTACAAAATCAAAACTGGAATCAAACTTTTAGCATGGAATGGAGAATTTAATGTTTGTTGGAAATGGGGTATACGAAATAGATACTTTGGATGAAATTTTAAGTAGATTTTGCTAAGAGTTTTTTGCGGATCTATAAACGAACACGTTCCTTTCCGCAAGGAGATGAACGTGGTTTATTTACTTTCTCAAATACGTTTCTGGGTGAATGAGAAATTAGTGATAAACCTTATTGGGTTTGCAAAATGTGGGAAGTGCTTGTCCCACATGGAAAAAATGTTAAAACCATTTGATGTTTATATAAGCCAAGTTTGGGATTTGGGTTTCGCCCAAGGGCACCCAAGTTTTTAAGAGGAGGAGGACCTAGGCAAACTTGGGTCCAAATCATCTACCACACGCGCGCGCGCCCTGCCTGACTAGGTCCAGGCTTAGGCTTGATTGTAAAGTCCGTTTAATTTTTTATTAAACGAAATTGGGCCTGTGTTGAATTTTAGTTTAATCTTTACTGGGCTTATAAGATGGGCTAGTATTTAAATTAAAAAACCAGTTTTCAGTTTTGCACCTGTTCTTTTCAAAACTGAACTATTACATTCAGTTTGAACCTTTGAACTGAACCATCACATCCAATGCAGGTGATGGTTCAAGCCACCTGAAAAAGCACCATGCTGCCTATATAAACCCCCCTTGGGTTCATTTCCAAAACACACAAAGTACCACTTACAAGAGTACCGTAGGTCTTCTAGGCCACCCCGAGGTAGAGAGGAAATATATAATCACAGACACTTGTCTTTGCGAAATGTCATTGAGTGTTGTTTTGGGATGCTTAAGATGAGATTTCCCATCTTAAAGCAAATGCATCAATATAAGTTTGAAACTCAGGTTGTTATTGTTTTAGCCTGCTGCACACTTTATAACTTTATAAGAATGGAGGCCCAAGTAGATGCAATATTTGATGATGAAACTGTGGGGGCGCTGGTAGATGAAATATTTGAAGATGAGGATGATGATATTCAGATTAATGTGCCGCAGTGTCGGTCGCGACCAATGGATATTTTACGTGATCATATTACTAATACTACATGGAATACAATTCCACACCCTTGAAATTGTATTTAGATGTTTATCATGTTTGGATACCTGTAATAACTATTCATTTTAAATTTTTTTTTTTTTTTTTTTTTTTTTTTTTTTTTTTTTTTTTTTTATGATTTGGATAACTGTAATAACTATTTTATTTTAACTCTCTTTTACGATTTGGATAAATGTAATAACTTGTGCCAAGTATACATTACACATTTTACCACTTGTATATGCAGTCATGTATGAGATACAGGGTGACGGACCACCTTGTACATATGGAAGGGGTTGAATGAATCTTTATACGGCTGGAACTTCAAAGATTTATGAACGTTCATTCTATAGATGTCCAGTTTGGGGTATACAATCCTTTGCATTAATAATTTTTTATACGTACATGTTATTGTCACAAGGGCATTATAATAATATAAAAGTGTTTGATGTTTTAGTCACATACTTATTTATTTATATGGTGAGATGACATGCACCAACGTCTGCAAGTGGGTGGTCATATGGATCAAGAGTTGGAGGATGTAGTTGCTGTTATGCAAGCTCAACAAAATAGGCAAAACTACATTATCTATGGTGGCTGTTGTTATCTTACTATAACTATATTATTTATATTATTGTTTATGTTGTTGTTGTTGGTTATTGTGGCTGTTGACAATGATGTAATATATTAGTTCAATTTTACATAGATACTTTTATTGTGCCAGTTGACAAGTGTTGACAAGCGATATAATATTTATGAAACTCATGTCTGTAATATCTTCAAACTCATGTAATGTGTAATATGTTTAAAGTTTATTTTAGTTCGATATTGAAACAATGTCTTCTAGAATTTGTCAAAACAATATCCATCATTCATATGTTTACAGTTTATAATAAATTTTATTGGTTTTTATAGATTAGTTAAAAAAAAATTATAAACTAAAACTTAATAAACTAAAATAAACTATAAAAATAAAAATATTAAAAGTTATACCAATTGTATAATAAAATTATATAATAATAAAATTTTACTTTATATTTAATAAAGTTATAAATAATGTATTAATGAAAAAAATTGAAAACACTCTTTACCAAACATATTTTATGTTTTTGTTTCAGTAATTTTGACTACACTTTTACTCTGCTAAACATGTTTTGTTCTTATATATACCTTGCCAAATATGTTCTACTATGTTTCTGTTCTAAAATTTTCATTGTAAATTTTTGTCGCTAAATATATTTTATTCTCATATTAAAATACCTTATTACGAAACATATAATCTGACTAAAACAAAACGTTCAAAAACATAACGCATACCAAATGAGTCCATGAAATCCAAATAGAATTGTGATGCTCTAAGCAAGAGGCCGAATCACAGCTACGAGACACCCAAACAAATCAGTACCGTTGCCCTGCATGCCAACGGACCAAAAATGTGACAAACTCTTGTCATTTCCACAAAATAGTCCAAAGTCAATCCATATTTTTGTTGAATATGTTCTCCGTGGTCTCCACTTAATCCTGTTCTCTGCAATTCTCCACCCGTTAATCCTTTTCACGTTCCCCTACACTTTGACAAACAATGCAAGCACGCCTGGTTGTCCGTAGGGGTCACACAGCTTGAAGTACCAATATATATATATATATATATATATATATATATATATATATATATGCGCCAAATTGTCCTTCTGACCTAAGGTCCCCTTTGGCACGTGCAATAACCACGTGTGGGCCAAAAATATGGTATGAATATGACAACCGCAGTGGTGCATTATTACCATTGCTTCTTAGAGTACTAGTCCAACGTATACCCACATGCCAGCACATCAATTCACACATTTGCCTCTTATTGGCCTTTTGAGTAATTATGTTATGCGGTCGACAATTCGATGGTTGTCATGAGCCCTCCCATTTTTATTACTTTTAAAACAGAAAATAGTGCATAAGTTAAAAACAATTTCCTATTTTTAGATAGCTGAAAATTAAAAAATCGAACACAAATTTGTTTAGTTATGAGAATTAAAAGAGACTTGTGAGATGGGTCTTTTATAATTATTTTGAAACAATTTTTTTATTTTTTGAATTCTTAGAGTTTGATTGAATAACAAATCAAACAAACTCTAAATCATCACTTAATAGTATTCAATTGTGCACTATTTTATGTTTTCAAAATATTATAAAATAATATTATACTACTTGTTAAAGAATACTCACTATGTCTCAAATTAAACTCTCTTTTTAAGAATTTAACTTTTTAAAAAGATATATTTTAATATACTTTTTTTGTATTGATAATAAATAAATTATCAAATATGTTGGTAGGAGTTCACATGATATAATGATTTATCTTTTATGAGTTGAAAAAAAGAATATTAAACTTGTAATGTTATAAAAAATAATACTTTAATTTTTCAAATGAGATATTTATTTTTAGAAAATCAAAAATAAAAAGATGCACATTTAATTTGACATTCAATTGCTACAATATTCATTTATAAATTGACTATTCATCAAACGTTTTCACACCATATAACATAAAACATAGCTATTACTAACAGAAACACTAAAACTAAAAGACGTGCCAAACAGGCCTTTGGAGTCTTGCTTTGGTGAAACCAAGTCAATTAATTAATATAAACAATCGTTTTTGAACGGCTAGATTAGTGTCTCATCACAACACAAAATAGAGATCATGAGTCATCCTACCTCATGGTAAAATTGTTCTTCTCCTTTTATTTATAAATACTCTCCCAAACTTCCGAAAGCTCCGCTCATCCACCCCTTTCAAAAATAGTTATAGTATAATAGTATATGACAACCAAGTAAAATCATTTCTCTCTCTTCCATTTTTCTCTCTCTCTCTAACCCCGCCGGAATATTCCACATGGACGTCCGCCGGAGACACCTCAAACCACCACGTCCAGCCACCACCCTGAACGGAAACCACCACCTCCACCACCACCACCAGGGATCATCCTCCGACGTTGATAGCACCCCCAAAGCCTCCGACGCCCTCCCTCTTCCTCTCTACCTCACCAACGGCATTTTCTTCACGCTCTTCTTCTCCGTCGCCTACTACCTCCTCCACCGGTGGCGCGACAAGATCAGAAGCTCCACGCCCCTCCACGTAGTCACCCTCTCCGAGCTCGCCGCCATCGTCTCGCTCATTGCCTCCTTCATCTACCTCTTGGGCTTCTTCGGCATCGATTTCGTCCAATCCTTCATCGCACGCGCTTCCAACGATGCCTGGGACGTCGACGACGCTGCCGCCGAACGCTTCATCCTTGAAGAAGACCGCCGCCGAGTACCTTGCCCTGCCGCCTCCGTCGATTGCACCATCCCTACCGTCACCGCCGTAGCTCCCGTGCCCAAACTCATCGATCCGCCTTTGCCTCTTCCGTCTGAAAAGGACGAAGAAATCGTCAGATCGGTGGTCTCCGGGACCACTCCGTCTTACTCGCTCGAGTCGCAACTCGGCGACTGTCATCGTGCGGCTTCGATTCGACGCGAGGCCGTGCAGAGAGTTACAGGGAGGTCGCTTTTAGGGTTACCATTGGGCGGATTCGATTACCAGTCGATTTTAGGGCAATGCTGCGAGATGCCGGTGGGTTATGTGCAAATTCCGGTCGGCATTGCCGGGCCGTTGTTGCTCAACGGATGCGAATACTCGGTGCCAATGGCGACAACGGAGGGTTGTTTGGTTGCAAGTACGAATAGAGGTTGCAAGGCGATATATGCTTCAGGTGGTGCCACCGGCATTGTTTTCAGAGATGGGATGACCAGAGCTCCTGTTGTGAGGTTCCCATCGGCAAAGGATGCTTCCGAATTGAAATTCTTTTTGGAAGATCCTCTTAATTTCGATACATTGGCAGTTGTTTTTAACAAGTAAGACTCTTTTAAACTATATTTCTGTCAATTTTAATGACTGACTATTTTTTATTTGCATTAGTAGGTGATACTGTAATAGTTTAGAATAATTTGTGAAAATTAACTTTGTCAGCTTCACAATTTTGTCTGTGTAGTGGCAAAAATTTTGAAAAATTCCAAATATAGAAGAATTTTGTAGTCCTTGTGCTAACTTTGGAATGATTTTGACATTCTTTCTCATCATCCTTTAGGCCTTTAGAATATCCAAGTGGCCCAAAAGATGAATGTTTTTGCTAGTCTTGTCCAGACTTGGTTGGGTTTTCATTAATATGTGTCACAAGCTCTGAGTGATGCCTTTTGTTTCTCTCTGAGTGATTTTGACACCAAATTTCTTTGCTTTTGTTCACTTGTGTTTCGCTCTACTTTATTTTTTTCTCGTTTTCACATTGTTTAGGGCCTTACATTGTGCAAGTTAGAAAAAGGTTGAATGTTTTTATAGTCTCATCTAAGCTTGGTTCTGTTTTAATTGTATGTATTACAAGATTTTGATTGATGCCATTCATTTGTTGAATCGGTTATGCTTTTTCTCTTCTGTATTTTAGTTTAATTTGAATATTTTGATGTTGATGGGTGCTTTTATGCAACAATAGCTGTTTTGTGTTCTGTTGCTTGGATCTCATGTTACTTTTTCTGCCCCAGTTTCTAGAGTTCTAATTTAATGTGTTTCATCGATGCAGATCGAGCAGATTTGCAAGGCTCCAAAATATTCACTGTTCTATTGCAGGTAAAAATCTTTATATGAGATTTTGTTGCAGCACAGGCGACGCAATGGGAATGAACATGGTGTCCAAAGGTGTTCAGAATGTTTTGGAGTTCCTTCAAAATGATTTTCCTGATATGGATGTAATTGGTATCTCTGGTAATTTCCTTTCTCATTTTTTGTGAACTTCCATAGCTGAATTCAGTTTGGAGATGATGTAATTGGTATCTCTGGTAATTTCCTTTCTCATTTTTTGTGAACTTCCATAGCTGAATTCGGTTTGGAGGTGATACTATCTTGTCAAGGGTGTGTCCTAGTTCGACTTCTTTCTAAAAGTATTGAATCCTGCAATTTCTGGGGCACTTTATACAAGTACTTGTTAGTTTCTGTCTGACCTCCTGTGGCAAAGTCAAAATGACAGTTCCATTAGTGATTAACTAAATTATGTCATTTGGAAAATTGAGTTTAGATCACAACAGCCTTCAATCAATAATTTGAACTTCTCCTTTTTTTCATTCAAATATATTTGAATCATTTTTGGGGGGTGTTAGTATCCATCCTAAGTGCTGAAAAGTGGGAACTAGAGAATTTAGGGGTTTTTACACTAAATTTGTTTAAAATGAGTAAGAATTTTAGTGAGGGAGAGTATTCAAATATATTCAAATCATTGTTGGGGGAGGCTGTTAATATCCATCCTAAGTGCTGAAAAGTGGGAACTAGAGAATTTATAGGGTTTCTGCTCTAAATTTGTTTAAAATGAGTAAGAATTTTTAGCAAGGGAGAGAACTTACTTTCCGTAAATGTCAAGATGGCAATAGAAGGTATTTCATGTTAAAAAAACTGTATATTTAAAATATTTTAGTGCTACAAATGGAGCCAATATTTTTCAATACCAAATTTCCAAATTTATCAGTCAGCCCTTTTAGCTAATCTTCACTTTTTAGAGAATTTTTATCATTTATGCTACCTAAAGCCACCATACTAGCTCTCTGTTTATAACTTTATATATGCAGACATATGCATGTCAATTTCTGTTAGCGACTTCTTTTTTACCTTCAAATTTGGGTCAGTTTATGTCCATTTTCAAAGAAGCATCACTCAAGTGTTATTTTAGTACTTCCAGTGCTATTTATATGTAGTGTCACTTTCAGTGTTATCATTTTGTGACATTGTATCCCAAATTCCCATTTGTCCAGGAAATTTTTGTTCAGACAAGAAACCAGCAGCAGTTAATTGGATCGAAGGGCGTGGAAAGTCGGTTGTTTGTGAAGCTATTATCACTGAAGAGGTGGTGAGGAAGGTACTGAAAACCACTGTACCTTCTCTCGTAGAACTTAACATGCTCAAGAACCTTGCTGGTTCTGCTGTTGCTGGTGCTCTTGGTGGTTTCAATGCCCATGCTGCCAATATAGTCTCTGCAATATTTATAGCCACTGGGCAGGATCCAGCACAAAATATAGAAAGTTCCCACTGCATAACTATGATGGAGGCCGTCAATGATGGGAAAGATCTTCATGTCTCAGTGACCATGCCTTCCATTGAGGTAATAACATTCCTTATAATCTTCCATTTGTGATTCATTGTAACTCGTGTTGCTTTAAGTTCTGTTGAATTAGATTCTTAGAAAAATATGGGTTATCTTATGATAAACGGCCGGTAATATCCATTAGGCTTTTTTGTATTGTTTAGTTAAAGGCAATGCATGGTATCATCTTAAAAATTTGAAGAATATTATAAGCAGAGTGCATTTCTGTTTAGATTTTGTACTCTTAACTCTCCATAAGTCAGCTAGAAAATTGGTTAATTGTTTATTCTCCAGTAGAAGTGCTAGTCAGTTTTCTGAACACAGGCCCTATTTTAGTTTTGATATCTTGAATTGTTATTAAGAACTTAAATAGCTTATTTGATTTTTGTTTGTTACAGGTGGGTACTGTTGGAGGTGGTACTCAACTTGCATCTCAGTCGGCTTGCCTGAATCTTCTCGGTGTGAAAGGTGCAAGCAAAGAGTCACCAGGATCAAACTCGAGGTTATTGGCGACCGTAGTAGCTGGTTCAGTTTTGGCTGGGGAGCTCTCCTTGATGTCTGCCATTGCAGCTGGGCAGCTTGTCAAGAGCCACATGAAATACAACAGATCAAGCAGAGATGTCTCTAAAGTTGGCTCTTAAAGAGGAAAGAAGAAACAAACTCCCAGCAAATAGTCCTCCAAAAAAAAAAAAAAAACCAGAAATAAGCATTTGAAGAGGCCTGAGGGAAAATGCAGACAATGTTAGGGAGGATAAATGTAAACAATGCACATGTGAGATTGCCTCTCTTCATAGCTGTAAAGTTGGCAATCATGATGTGATGTAAAAGAGCACATGAGGGCAACATGCCTGGTTGTCCCCTCTCTCTCTCATCCCAGTGACTTGTGACCCATTAGAGTCTCCAAATATTTGGTACCCATCTTGTCCTAGTTGTGAAATTAGTCATTGTTTGACCTTGGCGCATTATTTGTGGCAGAATTGGTTCAAAAGTTGTTTTTCACATTGTCATTTTGCTTGGCATGTAAACACTTTATAATGTTGTGTTGTATAATATGCAGACCTGCTTAGGCCTAACCCTATTTTTTTTTTTTTTTTTCTGCTACTATTCTTGGATTTTTCATGTATTTGATTTTTACCTGATCAATCCATGTTATTTACTTGTGTAAAGCGACTGAGGACCACTATCTGCGCTCCAAGATTCGCCTCTCGTTCCATGATTCCATCTTTTCTCTGTTTGTCGTCAAGCCTCTTATGTATCTGCATTTTTTTCCCACTTGAACTGTTGAAATTAAGGCTAATTCAGGACCTAATTCTGGATGGTTGAAATTAAGGCTAATTCAGGACCTAATTCTGGATGGTTTGAGCGTTTATTCAATTAATTGTATTTGATAATGTATTTTAAATACTCAACTAAAAAATAGTAAGGATAAATTACACCGACCTAAAAAATAATAAAGATAAATTACACCGACCTAAGTCTTACTTTGACCACCCTGAAAGATGGATCAACGTTAACTAAAATTATGAAATGCATTTTATATCCTTATTTGATTTTAAAATATTTAAATAAAAAAATCTTGTCTAGTAAAAAATTGGAAGGAAAGAATAAACTTCTTTTGTAGAAAGGAAAATGGGAAAGATGATACATCCTTCCTCCTTTACAAAAAAAAATGGACAGTAAAAAGGAAGAAAGACAAGTGGACTAATTATATAAGTTTTAAATTAAATACTATCCTAAATTATATGTAATGACCCGGTAATTTTTCTTCCCTTCTTTTTTCTCAGATTTTACGGATAAATTTTTTCCGTTGACTTTTTTTTTCTGAGTTTGGTTTCTCGTCGCTTAGTGTCGTCTCGAGTGCTTGGAAATGGTTTCCAAGACTCTTTCCTTTGGATTGACAACTTACTTAAAAGACCGAGTCATTTCCACTTTTTCGTTTTTTCGACACTATTCACTTTTCATCTTTTTCCCCGTTTGTCATTTTGTTGGCATAACGTCACTTTTCATGTTCGGAGTTGAGTTTTGACTACATGAGCTTTCATTCCAGTAGATTTTCTCGAAACGCGTAACTTTACTTTTGGAGAAAAGCTCGCCGGTTATTTCTTTCTCCCGTAGGGGCGTGGATGAAAGGATTCTTCAGAAACATTGATGTTTCTTGGGGTATTTTTCATAAATATCTTTTGGAGATAGTTTGATTAGGGGTTTTTTAAAAAATATTTTTTGGAAGATATTTTTATTCTGGGCCAGTTTTGTAGTTATCCTTTCTTGGAGGAGCCATTGTGCAATTAATGAAAGTTATTACAAGGTGCCTCATTTTGAGCTTGGATCCTTGTACGGGATTCATTTTCACTTTTCGTCAAGTCGTGTACTCTAAGAATTTCCTCCCGGTCATTTTCCCCAGTTTTAGGGATTTCGGCCCTAATTGCTGCCGAACTTGTTCGGGGCATATCTTCCTATACGGGACTCAGTTTTCGATGCCATTTCTTTCATTGTTTAATTTTTTTTTTTTCATTTCGGTTCTTTTTCATTTACAGTGTTTTACCGTTTGAGCGCGTCTGCGCAAATTTCACTTTTTCGGACCCGGTGGGACCCGTTTGGGGCACTTTTTGAGATTTTCTATAAATAGGGGCTTGGGAAATATAAATCAGATTTTTCCTCTCCTTTTCCCCACGTTCCAAACCAGCCATGGCAGCCCAAGGGGCTGCCACCTTTCTTCTTTTTCCGACCACTTCCCTCTGGATTTTCGCCGTATTGCCTTAGTGTTTATCGTAGGCATTGGCGAGGCGCTCCTTTCCCCCTTATTAGGAGCCAGTTCTGACCATTTTTGAGTTCGGGTTTTGAGTTCAAGTTGGGATTTTGGTGTGGCTTCGTGAAGGATTGTTGTTCCTCTCGTTGTCCCACACATAACCACGAAGTATCGTCGGATTCAGAGCGTTTTCGTTTCGGTGGGGACTTGTGAGAGGTAGGGGATGTTTTAGGTATATATATATGTTGTATTGATTGTTTTCTAGGCATATACAATTTGTAAGCATACCTTTGTATTAATTCTAGAATTTAATTTAATTATTTTCTTTGTATAAGATTTAATTCTCATTATTATATATAGTTTGGAATTAAATTATAACATGCTATTAAATTAGGCCTTGATATGTTTATTAACATATATTAAATTAGAAGTATTTGAATAAGTATTGAAACTTTTATTTAATTATTTTCTTGTATGAAAGTTTAATTCACATAGTTATAATTTGCATGGAATCAACTTGTAATGTGATATTAAAATAAGCCTTGGTATGCTCTTTAACCTATGTTAAATTGAGAGCATTTAAATTTGTTTTAAAATCTAGAGAAAAATTAATTAATTAGATTAATTAATTTATTTTAAGTGTTCTATTCACTTGAATGGATTTTTAACTTGATATTGTTGATGAGTTTGACATGTTCTATCATATATATTAAATTGAGAATATTTGGATAAGTTTTGAGAAATTTATTTATTTATTTTCTTGACATTGAGTTTAATTTACCTAGTTGTAACTAGTGTATAAGTAACTTGTAATGTGATTTTAAATTAGACCTTGATATGTTAATTAACATACTTTAAATTGAGAATAATTGAATGAGTCTTGAATACTTTATTTAATTATTATCTTGCATGAAATTTAATTCACCTAGTGACGCCTAGTGTAGAATTAACTTGTATCATGAAATTAAAATAGGCTTTGATATGACCTTTGACATATTTGATTTGTAGATTTTTTGGAGTTACTTTGTAATTATGAAAATTTAATTATTTAAGTTAGTTTAAATTCCCTTTTATGCTTCCATTGAGGTAATTAGGCATTGATGTTATATTCTTGCTTAATTTGTAGTATGGAACTTGTTATATGATTACATGATAGTATTCCACGAGTTGAAGTTATGATTTAACATGTAAGACTTCACATTTTACTTATATGACATTTAATATGCCATTGTAGCTTGAATGTCTAGGGCATAGCTTATGTGTATTCCATGACTTGGTTGTGCATGGTAATTGATTTTGGTGCATTGTGTATATGTGATATAATTGTTGCATAACTTGATGATTTTCGAAAAGCTTGTATGGACATTGAAAATTGTTACGGTTGGGGCATGGCTCTAGTACAGGGAATAAGAGTTCCTTTTATTTCATATAGTGTGCACTGGGTGGTACCATGAGGGCTAGTAACCTAAAAACACCAATATAACGGTTTTGTTCCGGGTTTAGTGCGCACTAGGTAGTACCTTGTAGGCTAGTAACCCGGAACCACTTACTTGGTCATTGAGACCTTATGTCCTTTGTCTTTCCGCCATTGTTTGATTTCACATTCAATTCCTAGTTGTAATCGTGGATTACTTTTAACTTGTTCTTGGATGCATGATACTTCATTTCTTGCTTTAGTATACTTGGATTTGTATACTTGTATGTCTTGTATATCAAAAATGCTCAGTATACTTGTGAGTGTATGCTTGTGTATATGTTGCATTTCCACTTCAATATTGCTTAGCGTACTTGGTGTGTACACTTGTATATTGATGATTTAGTAAGGTAGATAACCTAGTATACTTGTAGCTTGTATACTTGTCTTACGTGTAATTCAATATTGATTGTATACTTGTGTGTGCATACTTATATATTGAATATCTTGTTGCGTAGTACCACATGCTTCTATGTTGTTTAAATAGTATGAATAATGTAGTTTATGTTATAAATGCTTTAAGGTAGCTTAGGATGCTTCTTGAGTCTCACCTTGGACATAGACGCTAGGTGGCATTGACCTTATATATTGATTTATATCAATTTAATGAACAGTAAAATGTTAGGTCTATGTATGCTCATCTCGTAGTGGGGACATTTTTCAGGTACAGGATTTAAGATTCGAGATTCATATTATGCTTGGGATGATTTGTAGACTTAAGTTTATAATTCATGCAAATGTTAGCATGAAATGTTATTTTTGATTCAAAATGTCAAAACTCGTATATTTGGTTCTAAATATGTAATAAGCACTTAAGTACGCCTTTTAGGATGTATTTGACATGTATGAAATGAGGCCATGGGCTAAGGACTTTCATTTTGTATTCTTAGTACTTTTATTTCTAAGTGATTTTATTGAAAAATAGAAAAATAGCATGTATTAACTTCACTACATTTGCATGGGTGGTGGAAAGTGGGCTTTAGGACTTCCATAGGGTCTTTTCATTTATGTATGAAGTGCGGACAAGGGCCAAATGATCCTTTGAAACATTTGATAATTTTTAGTTTCAAGTTTCTCTTTTAAAAGTCATTTTAGGCAAAATTTGAGGTTTAATAGGTGATATTTTGTATTTAGCGACCATTGAGGCCGTAGGTCATTGGAACGCGTGTAAATATGTACATTATGTTTGCATGAATGCTCACCTTGCACAAAATATCACATTTGTATGAAATGGATGCTTGTTGGTCTCAAGTTTTCCATTTAAAGCATTTTCTTTGCATTTTGAGGTTTGGATAGGTTGTATTTTGCATCGGACATTTTTGGGAGCCGTGGACCATTCCCGCGTGCTTAAAATTACTAAATACATTTGCGTGCATGATTGTTTTAGTACACAACACCATTTAGGGTCAAACGAACACTTGGTGCAAAGTTGTTTATTATTTTTCATCGTTTTTGACCTAATCTGATCTGGGGGTATTTTGGGAATTTCTTTTGAAAATTAAATTCCGGTCTTGACTTGGTCACATAGAAAACGTGATTTTAGGGGGGTTTCTTCACAACATTTTTTCAAAAAATGCCGTCTCGGTCTCGAAAACCCCGTGTCAAATCTGATTTTCTGTGCGCACATGCTTTTTTTCAAAAAAGTCTGTTATAAGGGCATTTTGGGGATTTCACGTCAAAAATAAAATTTTCTTTTGATATAGTCAGCTTGGAAAAATTATTTGAAGGGGGGTTTCTTCTTCGTATTTTTCCAGAAAACGTCGTTTAGTGTCTCAAAACGGTACACATATTTCAACATTTTGCTTAGGTTACTATTCACTGCTGTCAAAACACTATTCACGGCTGCGGCGACA